CTCACCTGTTATTCTTCAGTCTTTAAAAATATACTGTATAATAAGTTTCAAAAGAAAAACAAAATAAAGAAAACAGAAGACAGACTCAAAAGACATTGTGAATTGTTTGTAACTCCTGGTAACTGTTAAGAGATGATATTAGACTCTCTTAATTTTCTTTCTTTTCAGATTATTCCTTTAAACGCCTTCCTATTGCAGTGTACTTATTTGTGAAATGCAGGAATCTACCATGTATATGGGTCAACTATACAGTTTAGAACTGATCAATAGTCTTTTTTTCAGCAGTTACTAATTAAAAAAGAATTGTATCTAGTGCAATTGACCCATTGAATAAATCAACACTAACAGCAACACCTAATTATGGTCAATGACTAGAATTTGACAAATAGGCAACAAAATATAAATATCAGTAAAAATAAAAATAAAAACAGGTGTAGCTATACCACCAATACAACCAAATCACAGCAAATTCTACAAATATTAGAGCAAAATAAAACAGAATTGCACTGGTCATAGAGCAGCAGCTATATACTAAAAAAGATCTAATGGTCTACGTCCAATGTTATACAAATGCACACAGAACAGTCGTTCCCCCCCCCCAATCCCCTTCCCAGGTGTGATCCAGCTGTCAAGGGAGAGCTCTTCAGCTCCACACTGGAGGATGAGAAAAAGCCATGCCACTGACAATGTGAATCTCTCTTCAACTGCCGTGATTAAACTTAATCCAGAATATTCTTGTCTGTAAGGCAGAGTCAGTTCTTTTCTTTTCTTTTTATTCTGGAAGGATCCATCATGTGGATGCCTTGCATTGTTTCACATCTAACTGATATCCTTAATAGCATGCAGTATATCAATGAATATCCATTTTCATTTAAGTTTATTTCTATAGCCTGAAGCTGTGTCATTTGGAATTGGGACAGCTAGTTTTCATTAAATTCTTTGTATCAATAGAAATCAGTTAAGGGAATGAGATTAAACATTTTGATGTATTTTATTCCTTATGTTTTTTTTTACTTGGAAGTCTCTAGTCAAGCTTATTTCCAAATTAGTGTACTAGGATTTCAAATTGGCTGCTTCTAATGTATGCTGATCTTGGATGCAAAATTGAAACTTATCTCCAAGTAAAAATTCCTAGTATTGGACAGTGGGAGTCCAATGGATTGGTAAAATAACTTTTGTGGGCTTATTTATAAGGCAGAAGCAATTTATGTTTTACATAGTTTTCACTTCCTTTTGTTATAATGAATTTTTAATTTGTATTTTTAGTTGTAATTGCAATACTTTATAATGTCCCCTTGAAGGCTGGTATACCCTGTTCCTTTCACTGCATCTAACAATGTAGCATTACTTTATCCTAAGAATAGGATAAGAATTTGCAAGCCCCCAAATGTGCTGAATTTCCAGGAAGTTCTTTTTCAGGAAGAAAACAGAGGCAATATGGACAAAATGGGGATTTTATGAGAATCAGCTCTTTCAAACTTTGTAGATTAACACAAATTTAGGGGAAATGACATTGTACTATTCAGTATGGCATTCAGTTGGTATTAGCTTGTAATATATTGAAGAAGCAAAACAGAACTAGACTTTGGAGATTTCTCTTTTTAATTATCTCTACGGTAATTTTCTTTAAATGAATTTCATATAATGCAACACCAGTTTTACCTATATAATATAGAATCTGTAAAGCAAACCCATATATGTGGCCCTTCCTAATCAAGAAAAGAGAATCAAGCTCACACATATATTTAGTTTCTTAGCAGTATAACAAACACGTGTTTTAAAGTAGTATGCATATATGTATAATTCTCTTGTCCTCTGTAATCCTTATCAGTTGATTGCATTATTTGATCCTGCTTCTTATATACAGTATTTGATCCTGCTTCTTATATACGTAAAAATATTTTAAAGTCTTAATCGATTTAAATTTTAATCAGTGCATTTTGTAAGGGGACAGTTAGGGTTTGGTTTTGATTGTGGTAAGGAAAAATAAGATCTCTAAATATGCTGGTGGCAGAGAAAAAAAATCACTCTTTTTAAAGTTGTGAGCACTTATAAACACAAGTCAATTGTTCTTCCTTCAAATCTTGAGTTAAATAAAACGAAGCAAATAGAAACAAATTTTAGAACACATATACTGTACAGGAAAAATTTTAAAGTTCATGGACAAGTTGATGAATGTATTTTTTAACAAATAGTAAAAAGATGGTGAAGTAAAACAAACAAACAAAAAAAGCAAACATTTTGTTCTTGTTTTTCAGACCCAGCTTCAATAATTTCATAATGTTTGAGTGCAGATGAAGTATATAACCATAACTTAGGCCTAACAGAAATGTATAACAGTTCCCCCATCTCTAGTGCACAGTTTGAAATGCTGGGGATATATGTCCTTTGGCTCAGATTCTTTTAGAACTTAATCTTATTTTTCTAGATACCCTAGTGTAATATGGTATTTATGTTCAAGAATTACAGACGAATGCCTTTGTTCTTTAGCTATTGCTATTTGTCCCTGGGATCTAGTTCCATTTTCTTCTAGGTATTTGGTAGATTAGCAGGCTGACTCATGCATACTATAACTGGCCTTAATGTTTTCTGTTTCTGGAATCTTGATGTATTATGATGGTAGTGGTCGCCTACTGCCCATTTCCACTTTATGTTTATGTTTATGTTTATTTGTTAGAGTTATATTCCACCTTTGTATAGGAGCTTAAGATAGTGAATGCAGTACCCTTCCTTTTATTTTTCTTCACAACTACCACCCAATAAAATAAGTTGGGCTGAGAGATTATAACTAGCCCAAAGTCACCCATGGAGCTTCTGTGCCTGAGGGTGGACTTGAACCTGTGTCTCCCTACTCCCACTCAAACACCTTAATCACTATACTACACTACACTGTACTGGCTCCCAATATGAATCTCTTGGATTCACAAGGAAAAAAAATGAGTTGCCTGAATGTAGAATGTTATAAATTCTTTAGATAGTATATTATTTCTACCTAAGAGTATAGATGAGATATCCATAGAAAATGGGGAAAAAATCTGGTATGTTAGTTTAGATATGGTTGTACATTAGCATATTCAACTAACAACAAAAGTAGATTGTTGTGGATTGTAAAAATTTTAAAACATTAATAGGAATTTCAAACAACATCATCTGAGAACCAGTTTGGTATAGTGGTTAAAGACCCTAGATAAGAAGCCAGGAGACTTTGAGTTTTTGTCCTGCCTTAGGCAGCAAAGCCAGCTGGGTGACTTTAGACCAGTCACCCCCTCTCAGCCCCAGGAAGAAGGCAATGGCAAACCACTTCCGAAAATCTTGCCAAGAAAAGTAGAGGGACTAGCCAGGCAGCCTCCCGGAATCAAGGTTAACTGGATGGGCCATAAGAACATTCTATAAACTAAACTTATAATAAATTCTTAAGTAATAAAATCTACACAAATAAATCTGATTTATCATAAATTATTATTATTCATGTGACAATTTCCCCTATACTTGAAGGAACATCTGAAGTACAGTAAATGAAAAGAATTAATTATTAGTTCTTAACCTGAAAATATTATTTGGGGTAATTAGGGGAGAAGTAACAAGTAGAAGCTTGCTTTTATTTTTTTCTTAAATAGCTACATTTTTTCTCAATATAAGAGTAGTAGTATTTTTCCTAAAAGAAGTTCTCTAGGTCAGGAAAAAAATGAGCAAAATCTATTCTTCTGGAATCCTCTAATTTGAATACATTGTGCCATAAAATGGAATAGTAAGTTGTTTCAGGAGACAGACTTCCATAGATATGGTAGATATTTTTCTAGTATAGAATAAACTGTTATTCTTACAATATAGAGAGCAAAATATTTGAATATCAAAAGCAGAAATAAATAAGATTTCCCTAAAATTTCAAAAGAGGTGTGCCAAATAAAAAGTTAATACTTTCAAACAAGGCCAGCACAATCCGTATGACTTACCACTAACAAACAAAATTGTTCCAATGAAAATCCAGGTAATCTTAGTATGAGATCTAAAGGTAAGTTTGTTTTTGTTTGATATTTTTAACCACAGCACAGTTTTGCCACTGTATCTCTGAGATTAGTTTTGGAATCCACATTCAGTCTTTCAGCTGAATATTATTTGCGATACCAGCTCTTGTCTGCAAGTAAAATCACTGGGCATGCAAAATAAAGTTTCTTTATATAAATATGTATGCTTATGTAACTATGAAATCAAGTATTTTACAAAGATATAAGATATGATTGATATAATAATCACCTATTAAAAGCATTCATGAAAAGAAAATAATAATATTTTC